ATATTTAATGATATACTTCATTAAATAATATATATTAATAACTCTGATATATATTAATATATATCAAATATCTATTTTGATATGCATCAATAACTTTGATATATACTGATATATAATTAATGATAAAAATTAATACAAATTATCTCAAAAAATTTTCTGATATTGGTTAATTTTTTCTTCTTTACTAAATATAACAACAGATATAATTATATTCTGATAATAATTAATATATTTTTATACTATATTTAGGCTATTTCTCTTTTAAATAAAGAAGATAGTATAATTCATGATACAATAATGCAAGTTTTCATGAGTTTTAGCTCTTTCTTCATACTTCAAGTAGATAATGATTTGAAATTCATAACCAGCATCTTATAATGTATTTATAATATTTTTAATATGATACTTGTTTATAATCATGCTTACCATTCACAAAGTTAAAAAAAAATCAAGAGATTTAATCAAATGCTTGATCACTATTTAATAAAAATACTTTGAAATGAAATCTTCAAGATTCAGGACTAAAGATGATGTAGTAAATATGTGATGCTTATTCATCACCTATTATAACATATTATAACTCCAAAATTTTATAAGTCACAATTAGTTGCAACTAGGTGATATTTTATTTGTCATCACGTTGCAATAGTTGAGAAGCTATTTTTATTTAAAACTATTAATAGATTGATATTCTTCTCTCATTTATAATCACATATAATAAAGTACCTTATAAAAATTATAAAAAGTCTTTATATAAAGTATTTTTTGAATTTAAAATACAAGAAGTCTATAATATACTAGATGAAATAATATAAGCCAATAATATTCTAAGTGAAATAATACAAGTTGGTACTATGTTAAAAGAGAAGAATAATAATACTGTAAGCATTAATATATGTATCTTAATCAAAGAAGAAGAGAGAAAAGATATATAAGATGAAATAGATATGCTAAGTGAAATAATCATGAAGATAATACATGATATGGTCACAGAAATAAAGAATATATCAATCATAAATAGTCAAGTTGTCATCTATGATGCTTATATGATGCAAGTTGAAAAAGTAAGAAGAGAAATCACAAAAAATAATGAACTTTATCAAAATAAACTTGTGATTTAAGAAAGTATTCATCAAAGAAAATTAGACTTTGAGTCAAAAGATGAGGTTGCAATTATTCTCAATTATAATACCAATCAAAAAACAAGAAAATAAAAGTTAGAGCAGATGTGTAGTAATAGTAAAAAGATTATATCTATGTGTAGCAATAATAGAACTGTAAGAGTTGAGATTAATAATAAAATAAAGACTTTTGCAGTAAAAAACTTAAGAAAACTTAAATGAGTAACAGATAATAGGAAGCAGATAGTAGAAAACAGATAATAAGAAACAGATAATAAAGACAAATAGATTTTTTTAAAAGAAACAGAGATAAATCCTCTTTAAATAAAAATAATTTTATTATCTGAGCAAATAATAAAAACTTTAAGATGTAATAATGTATTATTATTATAATCATGCATTATTATTTCAATGATATATTATTATTTTTAAATGTATAGTTAAGTGTAGTTCATTATGAATGCAAAACAAATCTGATATAAGATATAAAAAATGTCAGGACTATAATTTTTCATATAATCTTGTCCTCTATCCTAATCATTATCCTTATCCAGATCATGCTTTAACTGTTCTTCCATTATAATACATCATTATTAATAGCATGTGATTTGTATATAATTATGTGTTCACATGTACATTTACATGATACGTGATTATGTACATAAATCATATACTATGTATATAAAAAAGGATCAGAATTCATTTTAATCTGAATTTGTTTTAATCTGTCACAATAATTATAATTAGCTCAAGTCTAAGAAAGTAAATAAAAGCAAGCAAGTGAACAAGTTAATAACAATCAAGTAGATAATCTTATGAGTAATCAAACAAATAATCAAGAAGATAGTTGAATAGAAAAGAATAAGTAAGCTTTAACTATTAATAAGATAAAGCAAGAATTTAATAAGTCTTATTTTATATTCTTAATATTTAAATTATTCTTGAGTTATATTATAAATAAAAAAAATAAAATGCAAGTTTATTCTTAAAGTTCAAATTATTCTTGAATTATATTGTAAATAAAAAACAAAGCGCAAGTTTATTATTCTCGAATTACATTGTAAATAAATAATAAATGCATGACATTCTCGTTCTAACCTTAAAGGTATCAGGGGCAGACTCCAGGAACTCCGGAAAGACAGATTGTGATCGGAAATCACATGATCTGTCATTTTTTTTCTGTTTCACTTTGTTACTATTGCTAGTAAAGATTACGCAATTTTGTCGAGTTAAATTTCATTAAAAATCCTTAACATGAACCACTTTCCAAATGACTGGGGAAAACCTCAACCAAAAAATCATACTCAGTAATGTCAAGTGCTGCTGCCTATATAATGCGTATTTTTTCTTGTAATGTTGTTTAATTTCTCCTTGATTCGCTTGTGTTCTTTATAGGCAACCAATTATCACAGGCTCGTCAGTAATAGCCTTTAAATACAAGGATGGTGTTATGATGGCTGCTGATAATTTGGGTAAGTTAGTAATAAATAAGAGAATTGTATATAAAACAGAGTCTATTTACTAATTATCTTTTTCTTTTAGTTTCTTTTGGACGCACTTCTCGCTATCGGGAAATCGAACGTTTGTACCCAGTGGGCGAATATACTGTGCTTGGTGCATCCGGAGATATCTCAGACTTTCAACATGTTAAACATATGCTTGATAAAATAATGTATGCAAAAAGTTTTTTTTAATCAATTTTCAGAAGCATTAATTTTAATTTATATATTAGCACTAAAGAGTATTACACAAATGACGGCCATGTACTCGGAGCACCACACATCTATGAATATTTGAGCCGAGTTATGTATCATCGCCGGTCAGAATTAAATCCCCTTTGGAATTATTTTGTCGTTGGCGGATATCATAATGGTGAAGGGTAAGAAATTTTCTATTTGATATCGGAAAATAAAACGATCAAATATCACTTCAACAAATATTCTTCATAGATACTTGGGATACGTGGATCTTTTCGGAAACACTTATCAATCATCATCAATTGCTACAGGATTTGGCATGTATTTGGCTACACCGATATTGCGTAAAGCAGTTGAAGGAAACGAACATACACTTACTGAGGCGCAGGCCGTTGAAATTACGGATCAGATCATGAAAGTATTATTTTGTCGAGATGCCAAGGCTACGAACAAGGTAAATAAATTCACGTTATCATTATTTATTAAACAATGTAATCAGTTGATTAAATGCTTTTGGAATTCAAAGTTTCAACGTGCAAAAATTACTGCACAAGGTGTAGAAATATCTGCACCAATATCGGTGCAACCTGAATGGAACTATGGAAAAGATATCAGAGGTAAGCGACCAAATTTGGATTTAATTTATTTCTCAATCTAATATTCATTTCTTTTATAGGTTATAGTTAATAGTCTAATAAAATGCGAAGAGTTTTTTTTGTTTTGGCAATTTTAATAAACTGAACATTTTGAATTTTCAATTGCAATGAGTGGTACATCCAAATTACAGTATCTTATTACTAAATGTTTACACATAATAGATAGTATATTCTATAACTCAATTATATACAATTATTTAAATCATGCTCAACAGAATTCGGATTTAAATAAATTTTCTCTGCCTCATCAAAAATATTTTCAAATCGCCTGAAAAGACTATCGGTAATCCCATCTTCATCAAAGGTAGCCGTGATATCGTTAGGATCGATCGGTTCACTGCGTTCCTTTATAATTTTGTTAACTTGTTCTTTGACTTTATTGAAAAAATGGAATTTCAAGTGCTGCAAGTTATGATAAATTTTCGCGCGAATTTGACAAAATTTTCCCAAATTAAATCGATGAATGCCTCGACGTGATTTTTGACCGTCATCGTCATCAGACAATAAATCCGAATCGAGTTCATCAAGAGGCTACACAGATAATTCAAAAAACAAATTTATTAATATTGAAGAATAACTTTAAATAATATAATACCTGAAGTGTCCTTTTGTCATAAGGTAATCCTTTTAGCGTAATCATGTAATTCGCCGGTCTGTTGCTGCTACAAGCATCACAATAAAATTGGTAAATGAATGAAAGCTTATAACTTGGATAATAATCTAGACATTTCTGTAAATAACAAAGAATTAAGTTGAAAATTATTTAACGATAGTAAAGCAAAAATTTATATTGTAGTAGACCTTGAATCTCGTGTTCCATACGGAACTTGCAACAAGAACGTCGCTATGGTCACGAATTTTGCGATCAATCATCTTTATCGATGATCGAAAATATTCGGCTATTTTTGTATTATTATTCGAAATGGATAAAATCATTATGTATTCTCTAAAAGAATGGATAAACTATAAAAGCATTAAGATCTGATATGCTTACTTTCTTCCACGTCACTATAATTCTCTATAGTCGCAAGATAAATTAAATATTGGATAAAGACTTTAAAATGATATTCGAGACTTTGAGTGCCAGAAGATGTAAATCCCTCTATATTATAGAGCAACATCAGGAATTATTCCGGTTGACATCCCCATTATCAAAATCAGATTCAAATATAATATATATTTTTCTTTCACCTGGTAAATCGACATCTACTGTGTCTTCTTCTGTCACAATAAAATCATTCAATCCATCATCTGACTCCTCGCAATTTTGTTCGAATTCTGTTTCCTCCTCTTCAGTATCGTTATCAATATTTTTCTCGTCATGGTTGTCCTCGAGTTCAATTCTAATTCTTTTATTTTTAGATTGTTGCCTTTGTGCTATCAATTAATTAATACGGATTAATTAATTAAACCATAAGTGGTAGATAATAAAATTATCTCATTATTTATTCACCCAAAAGTTTTTGCAAGTTCTCTTGATATCGTGAATTTCTCTTTCCTCGAGTTCGTTTATTTAAAATGGCTAATGAATAGATAAATTAATTATAATTATATTGTATCATATACGATGTTATTGAAGTGTTGTTAATAATACCTGACTTGTCAAGATCAAATTCTTCTTCTTCATGATTAGATGAAGATATTGTTTTTTTATGCTCAACTTCTTGCGATTTTTCTTCTTTCCACTCTTCACCAGATTCATATTGCGATAAAACTTCATTTGATTCTAGATTTATATCTATCATACCTATTACACCATTTTCTTCTCCTTCCTTCTCTTTATGCTCTTCTTCTTTATTATTAGTACCGACTGGCTTGAAAGATAATTTCGACTGTCTTTTATTCTCTAGAAATAAAAAAGTCAGAAAATCAATCATTTTACATTTGATTATATAAAAAAAGAATTTTCTAAAATCATTATTACCCATCAGCTTTCTTAAATTCTCATTGAATTTACTCCGGCCTTTCGATATTCGTGAACTTTTACGCGTAGCTGTATATTTCACATGTTAATTAGTCAAAGCCAAAAATAAAACATGAAACTAGAAAAATGATTTATTCAAACCTTTTGGAGAAAGTACAATTTGTTTGAAATTTTTTCTCTGTTCATAGTCATGTTTGACATGCTTCCTGGATTGTGCAGTATCTTATTTTAAAGTAGATACAAGTAAAAATTGATGTAAACTTGAAAAATGATAATTTAAAAGGTATAACACCATTCGCTAAGGTGGAGGAAGTCTCTTCATCTTCAGTATCAGAAATAATAACTCGCTTAGAAGCGCGTTTAGATTTGGATAAAGAAGAAATATCTTCGTCTGAAAAAAGTTTAGCGAAATCTGAGGCTGACGCATCAGTGCTGAGCAAAGTCGTTGGATAAGAATCAAAAACCTCTATAGGTTTTGAAACTGCTTGATTTTGAACTGGAGGAATTGTTTCATCCTCCTCTTCGTCCTCAGAAATTATAAATTTCTTTAAAACGCGTGTCATTTTATGAAAGATTATCAACGACACACCTGATCTGGGTTGATTCAACTTCCATGGCGTTTCGTTAAGGGGAAGAATCTACGAGACACGTACCAATCATGTGATATTGTACTTACAGATGGGTCGGATAAATTCACGTGACATTATTTTTTTGTGATCGGCTCATTTTACAGTCAAATCTCTCTATTAGAGATGCAAACATTTAAAATCCTAGAGTTGCAACTGCCCGATCATAAGTTGCAATTGTCTGATATAAAGTTGAATATTATAACTAAGATCAAATATTATAATTAAAGTTAAATATTATAATTAGAATTGAATATCATAACTCAAGTTAAATATTATATTAAAGTTAGATATCATAACTTTATATTAGAATTGAATTGAATGTCATATTAAAGTTGAATATTATATTGGATATCATAACTAGAGTTGAATATTATATTAGAATTACAGTAATATATAAAAATAATATATTATTTATTATTAATCTAATTCTTAATCATGAAAGTTTGATAAATATTACAAATAATAATATATAAAACTATATTAATTATTAGTTATTTTAATAAAAAATAATCTGATATTATTATATTTAATTATGAATAATAATTATTAATTTATATAAATGATGATGTATTTTTTTTGTTATTTTTTAAATAAATATATTTTTTATTTAAAATTTTATTAAAAAAAAATTAATAATTAGATAAAAATATTATTTTTGTCATTTTATATATAATCTCTTTACACTTTAATTATATTATTAATTCTTTATAATATTATATTAATATAATAATTAATATTAATATTATTTTATATTTTCTTTATCTTTTCTTATAGATTATTCTTATTAATAATTATATTTAGAAGTTCATAAAAATAAAAATTCACTTTTTATTAAAGTTTTTAATAGGATTTAGATCAAATAACTGTGATAATTAGCTTAAAATATCATATAATTATTAGTAAATTATTTTATTATTTTATCTGTAATATATTTAAAATCATTATTTTAAATTATATAAATTTAATAAGAAAAATAAAAGAATTTATTAGTAATATATTATTTTAAAATCTTATAAAAATAATTAGTTTTCTAAATATTAAAATATTTTTATATCATTATACTATTATTATTAAGTTTTATTATAGATTAAATATATAAGCTTTTAATATATTATCAATCTTTTTTAATAAAATTAATATTTATTAGATTTAAATATTTAAAATTTTAATTTATTAGATTATATAACTTTATTTTAATTATTAAATTTCTAATTCTTATATTTATTTATAAAGTCAAGTAATTTTTAATAATATAAATCTAATAAATATAACTTTTTTTACTTTACTCATATTATTAAATTATTACTATATAATTCATTATATTTATATTTATATTAATTATTTATTAATTTTTTAAGTTAAATTATATTAGAATATTCATTAATTGTAATTTAATAGATAAAAATTTATTTATTATATATAATAAATTTTTAAAGATAATTAATTTAAAACTTATTTTGAATATTATTAGTTTTCTTGACTTTTTTTAAGTTTTAATATAGTAAAATAATAAATATTAAAGTAATAAATAATTTTATATATATTATATTACTTGAATATATTTTTCTAATATAAATTGTATTACAGTCCCCGGCAAAAGTAGTAGCGCGTAACGTTTTCGTCTATATTTTAATAATAAAGTATCCAAAACTCACGAAAGTTTGTAGATATATTCTTTAGGA